AGAGAAAATGAAAGTAAAATTTTTAATTGGAATTGGAGTTAGCCTTTGAATTACTTCATTATTATATCTTTTAAAAATACTTATCAACCAGTTTCTTACTTAAGCATGTGGGTCTAGCACTAGAATCTCAAATAAGCTTTCTTTATAACAGTTGTGGGATAATTTCAGAGTTTTTTGACAGTCTTGTATCTATAATGTCATGAAAATAGAAAAAGTTCAAAAGCAAATATTGTCATCTAAGGACATGAATAATAATAACTATTAAAATTGAATGCCTTGAGCATAAAGAAGAACAATAACCTGCTAGATAGGTGAAATTCGGGTGCAATACTTAGTCAATTATAGTTACCAGCGACAGCTCTGTAATGCCGAGTGCGTGTATTCATATATGTCTATATGTAACACATACACAATGATTAATGCGATAGCTCAGTTTTATTTAAAACAGCAATGACATGTATTTCAATTACTAGTTTGTACTTTGTAAGTATATAAGTCACAAGCACCACCTAGTGACGGTTGATACGGCGTAAGCAAGACTGTGTGCATGTGGATATGTACCATCTAGACTGTTCAAAGCTCAGCTGTGCTTCCTAGGATAACTATAATTCACTAAGAGTCATTATTTGGAAACAGTTAAGTTTTCTTGCAAACACCGACAGCAGCTTTAGTTTGCATGTGAAGGAAGTCAGGCTCGGCCTGGCCGAGCAGCACATCCTGGAGGCACTGAAAGTCAGCTTTGAGGACCCGGAGCCGAGCCGCCCTGAGCCTCTCCCCTCAGCCACGCGGCCGGCTTCCCTCTGGCGTCTTCTTCCGCTCTGCATCTTCTGCACTCCTCACCCTACTTCTGATAAAGCTGTAGCCAGTGCCTGTCTCACCCGCTCTTGCAGATGTGTGAATGGTGGTGAGGGGAAAACAAACACCAAATACAACATCTGGTGCTTGTCGCCAGCTAAGAATCAAAACAATGTAAACGATAGGTTGGAGAAAGCCAGCTGACACCCTAACGTGAAATACTACGTGAGAGGCAGGCTCCGTAGGAGTCCACTCATCTTCTCTGCCGCGCTTGGAACCCTGCACGTTGCTGCTCCCTCAGACTGACCTCCCACGAGCTCCCTCTGTGTCGCCTGATTTCTCAAGATTTGGATGGCTTTGCATGACTAAGGCTGAAGATGGATTACCCTCCTCATCTGGTTAATGTGGCAGTAAGCTAACTTATGTTCAAAGAAATATAATCATTCCGGAAGTGGAATAAAAGAGACAATAAAGACAGCTAGAACCATCTTCCCCAGTATGTGCCTGCCGGGGAGGGATGATGGCTGTTCTGCTCTCCACTCCTCCCCACCAGACGTCCCTCTTCCCTCCGACAGGGCCTTGCAGGATGCTGGCCGGCAGGTGGCTGTTCAGTACACTAACTGCCCTAAGGACCCTCGGAAGAAATCTCGGAAGAAATGAACCCCATGCCAGGTAAGGATGAATAAATACACCCGATTTCTACTCGCTTCTAATCAAGGGTGTGAACAGAAAGACTCCTTGCCAGGCCTTAGAAATATGAAGTCACTGATGGTCCTCGAGCACCCTTATTCAGGTGCTACTCTCTTACCAGTGTCAGCAACGAACTCCGCCCTGTCCTGTCAGCAGGCTGCATTAGTGTATCAGGGAACTGGTATTTGATAATAACGACAGCCAATATTTACACAGCACAGTGGGTAAATGAGCCAGGTACTCTAAGTGCATTTGTACAACATGTACACACACATATGTACACACAGAGACACACACACAATTTAGTCATTAATGCAACCTCCTGGACTTGGCATTGATATTACTCCCATATTTCATTTGAGAAGTGTTGAGTGAGTTGGCCACGCCATGCACCTCCGCGTGGCCTCTCTGGAGCACTCTGGCCTGGAGCGGTGTGTCCTCAGGAAGCGCCTGCAGGCTGTGTGAGGGAGCTTCTGGAACACGTGAGGACAGAGTGCTGATCTGGGTCCGTGCTAGCTTTGGAGGACCAGGCGGCCCAGCCTTATGGCTGTCAGGGACACTGAAGGAACGAGGCTGGAGGACGCGTGAGAGTCGAGGCAGGAGGCAGAGGGGCTTCCTGGCACAGATGGCAGTCCTCAGTGGGGGGCTCCCACCCCAGCCTGGCCCCTGAGGTGGCAGGTGGCCTGGCCTCTGTGTGGCTCTCGCTGGGTTAGGGGTTGCACGGCTCACTGTCGCGCTCAGCAGCAGGCAGGAGGGGCTGCTTGGTTCACAGCAGTTCCGTACCCAGGGACTTGGGCAGAGGGCCCTGCCCTCCAGCACCCAGATGTCCCCTTCTAAGTGTGCCCCGCTGTCCCCACCAACCTGCTCGCTGTGGGCAGACAGAGCATGTGTGCTTCCTGGTCCTCTTTCCGTTTCTTTCTTGGTTTTTCTCTCGAAAATTCTGAGAAGATGCCTTCTGGCCATTGTGTTTTTCGTGAGGCTATTGCAGGGCTGCCCATGGGTGCTCTAGGTGGTGACTGGGTTGATGCATGTTTTGTGACCTCATCATGCGGTAGTGAGCCCTGCTGAGTAACTTCGTGACAAAACTGTGCCCGAGGACTGTGCTCTGGGGACCATTTAGCTGCCTGGAGCCTGGGAGCCGGAAGCCCTGGCCCTCCATAGGAATTAGTAAAAAAGGAGATGTAGGATTAAGTGTGACACTTTTAAATAGGTCTTAAATCCTTTATCCTACATAGCTCTCAAGGGAACTGCTTAGTAAGATTCCAATTTTTTTAGGGGAGAATCATATGTGTGCAAACACAAATGCACATGTATGTATATATAGACACTTTAAATTTTATTGTGCAGCCTTGCATTTCTCTTTCTAAAACAACTTCCTTTCGTGATATTTCCTTCATCTCCCTCCTTCTACAAAATGAAATTTGCAATGTGTTCTGGAGCTCATGGCCCGGGCCTCTGCCTTTCGTGCTTTCTTTTCACACTTTGTCTTTTGGCAAAGAGAAATAGTACTTCCTAGAAAAATGTGAGGAGCTGGGCGTGTCCATGCCTGTAATTCTAGCACTCTTGGAGGCTGAGGCAGGAGAGTCACAAGCGCGATTGTAGCCTGGGTAATACAGTGAGACTCTGTTTCAAAATAGGAAGTAAAGACAGGGCTGGGGATGGAACTCAGGTGAAGGCCCTGGGTTCAATTTCCAGTTTCCAGTGCCACACACACAGACACACACACACACACACACATTCACGCACACACGCAATGCAACTGGGAAATGCCATGAGTTTTCCTGCCTCTATCTATCAGTAGGAGAGGCTGCAGTTGCAGGATGGCCGAACAAATGCTTCTGGCCCCTGGGTCAGTGCTGCAGTCTGAGCACCCTTGCCAGCTGTGTGGCTGGGAAACCACCAGCATTTCTGCGGTGCTTTCTGAGCGTGTGCCGACTTTGACACGATTTTGGTGTGGTCACCATCACTGTGAGTGCCAGTGCTCTCGGGGAGTGCTAATGACACACAGCCGCATCTTTACCAGTGTGTACTTTTGGGGTCCCCAACAGGGGCCTCAGCACCCCGTGGCTCCAGCAGTTAGTGCCTGGGGTGAGCTGGGTGAGGGGAGTCCCTGGGCTCTTTGGTCTTCCAGCCCTGGCTTCCCTACTCAGAGTGAAACGGCTCTGTCCAAGTTGGCTTACAGAGTCACTTAACAGTTCCGGGGCCTCTACCAAGGGAGACACAGAGGGAGTGAGAGGGATCAGCACACAGGCTTTAAATGAGCAGATTCGCCACCAAAGCTGCATTTTATTTCTTTGGTCTAAGAATTCAGGTCAAATGCCATCTTCCAATGACGCCGTGTGGCCCCTGGACTGATAGGATGCTACCTGACTGTATTTATAAAAGCTGCATTTCTTATTAAAATTTAGTTTTTCTTTTCTTTTCAAAACAATTACCAATGGCATATTGTGTAGTGCTTTAAAATCTGCATATGGCCAGGTATTCTTGCTTCTCACTCATTCATGCATTGTTGAAATAATGCACACTTCCAAAATATTTGTGTTTGGTCACGGAAAGATCTGTGTCCTTTCAAAAGCATTTTCCTCATTCCCACAATAGCATAGAAGATATTAGTGCTCCAATAAGAAGTTCTCAAATTCAAAATGCAAGTCCCTGTCCCAATTTAATCGATCTAGGATGGAGCCAGGGGGCTGCATTCATGAAGCCTCTGAGGTGATTTTGATGCACATTCTCAGATTCTTCAGGAAAGCTTTCTTTTGGCTTACAAAGCTCTTATCCAAAACTTTGAATAAAAGGAAAAGACAACCCAGGGAAGCAGTGTTTGGGGCGGCACTGTGGTGTCATCACACAATGACAGGCAGCGCTGAGAGGCCTTTGGGCTGCTCCAGGCAGGGCTGGGCCTGGCCTCAGTGGATTGGAGCTACCACTGTGTTGAGCAACCCTGAGCCATGTCCCTGGGACCCTGTGGTTCAATGTGCAGGGAACCTGCGGCCCTTGAAGACCGCACGCTGGATTTCCTCATGAGCATACATCAGTCTTGGAGCGCAGGAGGCTCTGCTCTTGGCATGTAATCTTTTGGGAGTTTTTTTCTCATCTAGTATGAAAACAGAAAATATACATTGGAGTTGAGAATTTAAAAAAGCAGAGAAATAAAAAAAGCTTTCAATAATTTAATAAAAAGCATGTGGGCAAATGTGAGCTCCAGTCACTTTCTATTTATATTTTGAAACCTTTGAATTTGCTTTTAGGAGGAGAAGCACAATGTCCTTTGGCATTTTCTCCCTCTCTCTATTTTTTTAATGTGGAGTCTGTCATTTCAGAGTGAAGTGGTAGCACTGATTGTCAGACCCATGCGAGCAACTGCACTTAGTAACAATGACACATGGTCTGGAGTGGAATTGGGCTGCCACTTGTCACCAACCTTAAGCACTTGTCTTTTCCGGTACACAATTATACAGGAAAAAAGAAAGAAATGTGAGCACACTGAGATATAAAAGTATTATTTTATTGTTCTTTTGGAATTAACAGAATACAAACACAATCTCCCTTTTGTCTGGTAGGAAGTTTAGTAAGTTTCTCGGATTAAATGGCTTTCCTCTTCTGTGAAGGGTCTGATGTAAACCCTTGTACCAAGGCTTAAAGTCTTAGGTCTGTTGGAAGTCTCCATCCATCAGTATGTGTGTCAGCGGATGAAGTCAGCGGCTGATGTACCCTGTCCATTGCGCTCTGTGAAAAAGCATCCAGCCACACAGGCAGTTTTCAATGATAAAGGAAGTCTGGGGACATGAAGGCTCATCTGATGATAAAATGCATTTTCTAATTGGCGATATTTTGGAGCAACATTTTACTACTGTGCCTTTCTGAGTATTTTTAAGTGCTATGTTTGATGAGGTGGTGAAAATGAAAGATGTGAATTTTCTTTGCGAGTCTATCTTTAGTTGCTTCCATGAACTGAAAAGTACATTTTCATGATTCAAAAAGTGTGTGTTCTAAAAAAAAAAAGTGTGTGTTCTATGTAGCTTCTATTTGAAATAATGTTTTTACAGAGTTGGCACCAGACAAATTAAGTGACAGGAAGTAAAATTTGTTTAACATCCCCCAACACACTCATTCTCTTTTATCTTAATTTGATGTGCATCTAAAAAGTAATCTCCATTTCGTGATAACAGGTACTAAGTGTAGAAGGGTGTATGTGCTCTATTAGCCAGCAATTATTTGGCACTTACTGCATGCTAAACTGTGTACTCTACTCAGTGAAATGTTAGTAAGATGGCGTAGAAGCAGGAGATTGCAGACAAAGTATATCTGGTCTCGGCCATGCCCTCAAGGGGCATGGGAGGTGCAGAGTGAAAATGCTCCGTGGCTGGGCTTCGTGAGCTTGGGTTGAAGGCACTGACCCTGCATACTCCTTGCAGGCCAGTGAGGTCTTAACAGGCTTCCCTTATAGCTCATGTTACGAAGTTTGCCAAAGGAATTTGCTAATGATTTGGCAATGCTGTTGAAATTGCTGGGTTGCTTTTCATCCCAGTTAAGCTGGCAAACTTTCTATGAAGCATTTTAAATCCACATGGCGGTATTCTCTTCTAATAATGGAGGCCCCAAAAGACTGGTCAGCTTTTCTTCAGTGTCTTATTTTTACTGTTGCTGCTGAGGTTGTGGCACATTTAGCTACTATTTTCAAGACCCTAATATGACTATAGAAAATGAGTTGATGAAAAGGTACTTAAGGTGAATTTTGACATTTTCCCTTCAGTTTGTATAACTGTGTTTAGTCTTTGGCTGCTTGGCTAGGCAGATCACACTGTCATTATTCATGCTTCTAACGACTATAAGGTTTAGACTTAAAAGCACATTGTAATAAGGTTATGTCATGTTATGCGCTATAGAATAATATAGCCTTTTGTACATGAGCAAATGGTAACAATAAAAAATAACACAACACAGCTTTCCCAAGGGAAAAGTGTTAACTGGAAGAAATTCTATCTTTTTCAACAAATATAAAACAGAAATATGATTGTTCTTTGTTTGTCTAAACTTTTCTTAGGCTAGCCCCTGTGAATAAATCAGTTGCTCTATGTTCCAGGCTAGAACTGTAGGAAGATTACCAGCTCTGATGGGGCCTCTTGGATCTGTGAAAGTGGCCAGCACTTCATAGGAGGGAGGCTCTTTCACATGTACCTCTGGCTGAAGGTTGGTTTCATATATTAGCGTTTTTTTCTTTTACAACCTGGTTTTAATTTCCTTTTGCTACTTTCTATCTCAGTGTAGATGATTTTTGGAGTTGGGCTATTATATCTGGCTTCTTCCTTCCTTCTTCACAAACTACCAACTCAGATGTCTAGAAACTTCTTTATTTGAGTACAGAAAAGCTCATTAGCTTTTTCCTTAAAAGGAGTTTTGACAAAAATGAAAAGAACGTGGAGAAAATGAAAGCAAAGCAACTGTTCCTTAGGCTTATCAAAAGTTTTCCATGTTAGATGACTATAAAAGTCACTTTAACAAAGTTAAAAACCTAAAACTAAATATGGTTAATCCAGATTCTGGGTAATCGAATAACTCACTACCCTATCACGGTAGGTGAGAGATAGTTCCTCTTGGTTTTTAAACAATGCCTTGGGAACAAACCTGTCCATAGATCTGATCACTGCAGTCATCTGATGAGACTTGAGGGTCTAGGGGTCAGGGTGCCTCCCGTCCCATCCTGTTTGCAGTCCAAGAAAACAAGCCAATAAAAGTTAGCTGGGTTAATTTTTTGTAGCTGATACTATTGGTACAATGCAGAGTTTATCATTTGAGAGGAGGGCAAAATCATAACAGATAGAAAACAAACACTATACTCACAGAGCACAGAAACATACAAAGCCAAAGAAAACATTGGCCAATCACAGGAGAAAATAATGTCATGAAACAAGCTAAGTGAGGAGGAATTCGTTTTGCTTTGGAAAAAGTGGAGCCATCCTGTGTATGGTAGTATATTCTTGTTAACTTTCTGTAAATTTTTAACCTAAAATTCCTTCAATATTTTTTATTTTGATCAGTAATATTTAAGTGAAAAAATGCTTTTGGGTAGAATAACTATTGAAGGTTTAATGTGCCCATAGCTTAGGGTTTTTTTGTTTGTTTGTTTGTTTACCAACATCAAAACTAAAAGTCATATAACTGAGCAGATTATTCTAAAGATTTCATTCTCACATAAACAAACAAATATTTTACAGACCAAACCAGAACTTCATCTGTCTATTGTTATTTACTATAAATTTGGCTTTTGGTTAAAGTATCTGAGCAGTGACAAAGAATAAAGAAGAAAAAACTTTAAAATACAAGTCCATGAATAATTATCAAAAAATGCTTTGTTGTGCTTTGAGTGCATGAAATAACATGTCTTGATTTTGAAATTTCACCAATCTTATTCCCCAATTAAAATTTGTTATCATAGTGCTAAGTAGAAGTTACAAGTGTTCTAATTTTTGTTACTATCTAAATGCCATTGATATAACTTTAATTACAACTTTTCAGCAGTGAAAATTTTTTTCTCCAAAATATCAAAACTTTGCTAGGGATTAGGTTCTGAACTCATGTCTTACTTCATTTATAACATTGGTGTATATAGTGAACATTTTTAGCCTTAATTTCCTTATTTTTCAATAGAAGACTAATAATAACAAGAAGTATTTATTGGCTACTTATTTTGTGCCAAAGACTGCACCACTCTCTTATTGTTTATTAATAATAAATAATAATAACAATATATCAGTATATTATTCTTCTTTTATAGATGAGAAACTTGGGGCAAAGAAAGTAATTTGTTCAGAATCACATAGTAGAAAGTAAGGATTTGAATCTCGGAAATATTGCTTCAACATTACCTCTCCAATTTCTTTCTTTCTTTTTTTTGGTGGTACTGGGGAATGGGGAAAATTAAACCCAGGGAATTTGAACTGAGATACATCCACAGTCTCTTTTTAATTTTATTTTGAGACAGGTTATCGCTAAGTCATTCAGGGTTAGCTTGAATTCATAACCCTCCTGCCTAGCTTCCCAGAGTGCAGGGATACAGTACTTCTTCATCACTAAACTACTCTGTCTTAACATTGTTTTAAGTATAAGGGAAAATTCAGGTAGACATTCCTATACATAATGGATGCTTCACATTTATGTATGGGTTCAGAAATATCTATCAGATTTCATCATATTCTTTAACCTTTAGACTTACATTAAAAATAATTACAAAACTGTATAATATCTATCCTGATAAATTTTAAATGTGAAAACCAATTGAGTCCTTCCCAACTGAACAGAAATTCAAGCTTATTTTCACCTGGAATAATTTATTTCAGGCTTTCATGTTCTGGACCTAAATCAATATGTGTAGGAATGCTAAGCAGATACAAGAAAGGAAGCTGAAAGAGAAAATAGGAATTGAGTTGTGAATTTTAAGTAAGGATATTACTATTTAATTATACTAGTATTCCTTGGGCTAACGTAAAGCCAGGTAGGAATCCATAGCAAGCATGGGGAATGGTCAGTTAAATAGAGATATTAGCATGTTCATTAAATGGCTTTGATTGAGCAACCCATGAATATATGATTTTTGAATAATTTGCATTTGCATAGTTCCTTTTATAAAAATACTGATATAGTTCATCTCAAATCATTAAACTTCCTATAAAGCAAAAAAAATTTTTGACAAAAATTGCTTTCTATGCATGGATCTTGGTGTTAAGTTCCTGAGATAATTCAGAATACAAAAGTTCTGGTTCCTGTGCTCTGCCATTTAGATTTTCCCACATCATGGTTTTTAAGAGAGCAAATTAATGTTACATTCTTCAAATCAATAACTCGAAGCATAACATCTTAATGTAAACCATCTCCAGAAACTCATTCCGCTTGATCTTGTTTGCCTTCTAAAGCCAAAAGTATATGTGTGACTTTCTAACCTACGTGAGTGATAAATTATAGTTGGGACAAGAAATTGATTCTGTCCTCCGTATCGAGGGGTAGACGTTGACTAAAGCATGAGATAGAAATACACCGTTTTATTTGCCTATTTATTGAAACAGCGTGTAGGAAAACAGCACGCTTCGTCCCCACTCACCTTCTGTCCTTCCTTGCTTATCCTTTATGCTCCCAGGGCTCTTGGGCCTCAGAGAACCCCATCCACGCCTGTGAAAGGTTTATGAAAGTTGTAGTCAAATATGCACAACACAAATATACACGTTTAGTGTGCCATTCAGTGCTGGTTAACTATCTCCTTCAGTTGAACTCTTTCATCACCCCACACAGAAACAACGGACCCGTTAAACAATTTCTCGAGTCCTTCTTTCCTTCAGCTCCACTAGCTTCTATTCTACTTTCCACCTCCTGGAGTTTGCCGAGGTACCTACCTTATTCAAGTGAGATGACACAGTGACAGACTTATTATACCACGCAGCACTCTTTCGAGGCTCAGCCGCACTGCAGCAATGGGTCAGGAGATCCTTCCGTTCGATGGCTAAACGGCCTTCCGTGGCGTGCGTTTATCCATGGGTCTGTTGGTGGGCACGTGAGTTGTTTCCATTTTAGAAGGCAGTGAGGACTGGAGCCCCGAACACTGGTGGGAAAGTCCCTGAGTGCATGCCCTCGTGTCTTCTAGATCATGCTCAGAAGTAGACTCGCGGGGCGTGTGAAGATCTTCTATGTACTTAACTTTCTAAGGAGCCGCCAAGCTGTCGCAGTAGCTTCATTACTTCACATTCTTACGAGCAAGGTACAGGGCTCCCCCGTCTTCTCATCGTACGGCTATTGGCCCTGCATTCCCTTCTTCCTTCCAAATCATCACCGAATGGGCCTAAAATGGCTTCTCACTGTGCTTTGATTTGCAATCCCTAACAACTAGTGATTCTGCCTGTGAAGAATGAGTTTTCACAAACTTTCCATGGGCCACATTGATGTTCTTGTCTTACAGCTTCACCAAGCGTTGAAAGTCAAAGTTTAATTCTTGAAACTTTCCTGAGAGTAGGAAGGGGTAACTCTCTGTATGACAGGCAGCAAAATGTGACATGAAACACGATTTATAAATGAGCAGAGACTGAGCTGAAGATTCACACCCTCCCTCATAAGCACTAAGACCCCGGGCGAGCTCTCTAAGGTGAGAAGCATTTCTGGGCATGGGTGTGGTTGCTTCACATGAGCCGGGCACCTGTGTGTGTTCGATGCTGGGTTACAGTCAGAGCTTGATAAGTATTTCCTGAATCAATGAGCAATGCTTGAAATATTAAATTTAAAAAACCTATTCTCATTATCAGATAATCAGAGGCATGAACCCTTATGTTAAAGCAGATTTAAACAGCAGATCACAATTTATATATTGTGACTTGAAAAATATGATATGAACATAATGTGTATATCTAATTGCATTATCAAAATATATGTCAGATAAATAATATTCAGCTCAGAAATATTTGGAAGTTACAATATAACATTACATTTCAAAACTTCCACAGAAACAAATTCTGGGTAGCTGAAACAGAAAACCATGTCTTTCTTCGGTTCATAGTGCTTGCATTTAAAACAGTATCTCCTAAGTAAGAATTTAATTGTTTTCTAGTGACCAAAGTAATGAGTTACTAGAAGTGTTTGGGGAACATATTTAACCGGACAGATTTCAGCATTGCTATCTGAGTATGCCCTCTTCATTTAAAAAATACAAGTAGTTTCAGTGACTGCACATATAATATGTGGAGACAAGCTATCTCCCCACTTCTTCCCTTGGTTTTTCAAGTATTTTGAGCAATTCCTTTGCATTTATGTCTCTGATTTTTGCAACTGATGATTCTTCAAAGCCAAGCACAGAGTAAACGGAATGTCTTTGTACTAAACCATGAAAATTATGTAAACTGACCAATATACTACACATAATTCAAACTCCTGAGTTTGTTTGTTGAAACAAGACAAATTAAAAACAAAGCTGTATAGTATTTACTTTTTAGACAGGTAACACCACTAGTTGTAAGGTAGTGATTTTACACAGTCTTAGGAAAATCATCTTTCAAGTTTCCTGCTTTGAAAAAAAAACTCATAGATTTCCAGTTCTACAGACTTATTAACAGAATATCCTTTCACCTCAGAGCAGATGTATTCTTAGTGGCACCTTTTTAGGAAAGGCTGGTTTCTTGTGAGGGATAATGCCTTTTTGGAAAAATTTCATACTCACTGTCTGAGGGTTTTTATTTTTGTTTAAATTTTGCTTGACAGAGTTCTCCTCCCAGTCAGTACACCCTCTCCGTCTCTCTAGGTGGCAGCATTTGCCTTACACACCGCTCCCCTCTGTCCTTTGGGCCACCTCCTTTATGAAGGCGCTTTGTGACTAGCGGCTGGCTGACAGATGAGGCAGGCGGAGTGTGAAAGCAGAGACCATTGTTGCCTGACTCCTATTGGTCTCTCCTCAGCAAAAGTACTAAACTCACCAGCATGAGCTCACATGCACCTATAGAGGGGCTGCACTGCAAGAGAGATGAGTCATCACCAGGCAGAAGGCTTTCCTCCTCCTGCAGCCCCATCCCAGGATGTTCACACAGGGAACTGGTGTTCTTCTCTCTTACAATAATATCACTGAGGTTTTACCCACCTGGCTGAAACCTCAATGCTCAAGTAAATTTAAAAAATCTTAGTTTTCTTGTCAAAGTAATCTTTGAACACATGTTTTCCTTTGTTACTTACATAAAAGCAGAAATAAAAGCTCCAAACTTTCCAAGGTTTGCCCATCTCTGAGGCAGACTGGTGGCAGGAAGTGTGGGGCTCAGGGGTGCTGGAGCGTACCACAATCGGGGCACTGCTCATGCTGCTGCTTCCGACCCCGCATCCAGAAGGGATGCTGCTGCTCCACCACAACTGGCTTGAAATTCTTCATAACTGTCGGACAAGAAGCCCTGTGGTTTTATTCTGCACAGGCCCCAAAAGATAGGTAGTCCTTCCGGCTGCAGATATTTCAACTCAACAATACCTACACAAAGAATAATACCAGAGACTCCAGGTGCAGTCAGCATAGCTCAGTGGTAGAACACTTGCCAGAGATGTGCAAAGCTCTGGGTTCAACTCCCAGGATGGAAAAAATAATAACTACAGGTAATTTCTATGTTGTTAATGAAATATAAAGTAGATGCAATGTCACATGATGGCTAAGACCTTTAGGTCTAATAAAAACTACTCACCTAGGTTTCTTGAATGTTTGAAATAATAATTTTCCAAAAGTATTGACAAGTTTTCTAAATTCATATCAATTGAGAAAAAATGACTGATGGGATGGAAATAGAGCTCCTTTTTCTTTAAAAAAATTTGGATGTATTTGAACACCTGTGTTTCTGTGGTTCCAGCTGGAATCCAAAAGTCCAGTAGCACATGTAAGAGAAGAAAGACTGAACTGAAGTCACCTTTTGTTTTGGATGAAGAATCTTGTAGGCTGCTAGTATGGTTGGAGAAACACAGGATGGGCTGCTAATACAGAAATACAGTAGCTAAGCAATGAGAGGGAGAGAGAGAGAGGCAGAAGAATATTCAGATAATTTTTCTATAAGCATTTTAAGAAAAAGAGCACTAATTTATTGCGATTCTGGAAAAAATCCCATGGTTATTTTCCATTTAAAGCAATGATGTAAGACAGAATGTGTACTATTACTGCCTGAAATAGTTGTTTAAACCATTTAAGAAAGTTAAAGTTACATTGTAACGTATACCTAAAATGTACCAATACACTTACTGTATAAAAAAGAAAGTTAAGGTTAGAGTTGCCACTTTAATTTTATGAGTTCATAAATTCAGTTTACTTCACTGACATTTAATTAAACATATCTTTTAACAGTGATTCACTTTTTGTGTGTTGAGTAAGTACACAGCTAAGCAGCCCAAATGACACCCGTCAATCGAGGGAGAATACAATGTCCAGCCTCCTGTCTATCCCATAATTGTCTCCCTAGATGCCAGGGTGGAAGTCTGATTGGTCTCAGCAAGTCATGTGATCCCTAGTGGAGCTTGTTGGTACAGAAACATATAATTTAAAAAATATCAGGAGGGAAGAAAGGAAAAGAAAGGGGTGGGGAAGGAAGGAAGGAAGAAAGCAAGGAACGAAGGAAGAGAGGAAGGAAGGGAGAAGAAAGGATGGGAAGAAACAAGGAAGAAATAAAAAAGGAAAGAAGGGAGAAAGGAGGTCAGAAAAAAGATGGATGGAGAAAAGGAAGGAAGGAAAAGTAAAAAGAAAGTTTCTAAATATACGTGGAATACTCATTTTCCTAGAATGAGCAGGAGTTAATGAGTTCTAGGTTTGGAGTACTGCAGGAAGGAATACTAAATTTTAATTGTTAGAATTGCGTATGGGTTCCTCTAAATTTGTAGACTGTGTGCTTAAAGACACGTACCCTGGAGGGACGTTCTATACACACCAATTTAGGTTAATGGGAGAGATGTAGGGTGTACCCATCCTCCTCTGGTGTTCGACCTAAGGAAAATCACAGTCCTCTGGGACAAGGGTACAGTAATCTCTTTTTATTTTGCTGGGTGTCTTTGGTCCTGGTTTTCAACGTGAGCCCTTTCACTCAGCAAGTTGCTGCACTACAAACTTACACACATGTACAGGAGCAGTAGCAGTGTTTTCTCATACACAGAAAGCCATGTCTTACTCAGACTTGTCTTGGGGCCTTCAAATACTCTCAAAATAAGAGGTGACTATAAAATTAGGAGGTTGTAAAGAAAATGCCAAAGGGAAAAAATAGCATTTTGCACCAAATAAATGAGAAAAGGATACTTTCCTGACTCCATGGTTTGGACAGAGGTATGAGTCATGTCAGACTGGGAATAACTCAAGGAGATAAACAGAGAAGTTATCTAAACAAACAAGTTATAATTCTATTCCAAGATGACATTTATAGGAACAGTCATTTTTTCCCAAGCCGATAGAATATCAAACAATGCGTAAACATTGAAATAAATCGCATCTTCTAGACATACGTGGAAAGGAAAGGCATCGCAGTGAAATCAGGCACATGTGCGTTGCACATAGTTTCTCTCTGAGCTATGAGTCTGTCTTTTTTTCTCAGTTGGGAAGATACATCTGTTTCTTCTCCCTCATTTGATATGATCTAGTAAAATCCAAGCTTTGGAGACATTGCCTGGAACATTAGTGCTTCCTCGATTTCTCAGCACATAAATCTTGCTGAGTGCTGGCTGGGCAGATCCAGCTATGAGCTAACCTGGCCCAGGGCACCCTCATCTCTTTGTTCTCTCCTCCGAGACGCTCTGTAAGCTGCCATCCCAGCACTGCGGGACTCATGACAGTTGTTTTCCCAGTTCCTCGGGATGGAGAGACACACTCTGTTGAAAGAGGGACAGACACGCCATGGGGTTTGTATTGTTGCTGCATCTCTGCATTGTGGCCCTGTGGATACTGAGTTCTGAGTTGTAATTAAATTTCAAATAATGCTGTAGTAAAGACCCGCAAGCCACACAGTCCTTTGCTAACTTCCTGCCACCAGCGCTCCCGTGACTCCTCCATGTCGCAAACCCTTTTTCTTTACTTACCTCTGTCATTTTAAGAGGGCTTAACAGTCGTGGTCCTTTCTCTATAGCACACTCATCACTGTAGTTTTGAAATTCCTTTTTCAGTTTCAGAGCTTTCACCACCTTGCCACCAGGGTAGAAGCACCGATTAGCTGCAGGTGAATTCTCCCACTGTAAATTGTTGGCTTTGGGTCGGGGCATTTGTTGTAAAAGTGTTTTTATTTGGCTGAGTTGACTAAGACGGAATGAATAGCAGAATAAACCATACACAATACCTGTCATCCTAGCACTCTGGGAGGATGAAGCCGGAGGACCACCAGCGGCAGCCCAGGCTGGGTGATCCAGCGACTCAGTGAGAACCTGTCTCAAAAAAAAAAAAGCCTGGTAGTGTAGCTCAGTGAGAAGGCCTTGAGTTCAATCTCCAACACTGCAAAATAAAAGAAAATGAAATCCCAAACAGACCAAGAAGATCACATACATAATTGGAGGGTTGCGTGTATATATTTGATTGCATTTGCATATCACACATTGCAGTTTGGACTTCTGCGTGACCAGCTTTGTGTGCACGTCTCACATGCAGTTGCTCACCACTTGGCACTC